AGAGGAGAGGAGAGGAGAGGAGAGAAGAGAAGAAAGAGAAGAGATATTTACAACTCATGTTTCTTTCAACTCCTGACTCTTGACTAGGAGTGCATGTGTGTGCACATGTGTTTTCTTCTTTAGCATTTCCTGTCTCCATAGATACTATGCGTTATAGTATCAGGTGTGGTTTTCCTTCACTTTCACACTCAGTCAATCATTCAAATCCAGTGAATTAATTTTCCTAATCATTCCCAATCTGCTGATCTCCTTCTGGTGCTCAGCACCAGTCTTAGTCTGGCCCCCACTATATCTTTGTGGTAATCTCACCCTGAGAGCCATGTTGCCATTCTTGAAATTTGCCGCATCCTGCTCTGGCTTCAGAGCTTCCTAAGACTTAGAATGAAGCCCAAGACTTTAGCACAGCCTGGTGCACAGACCGGGTCACTTAGCCCTCTTCCTGCCTCTCCCCCCACCCCCCATCACTCTCACTTCTTTGATGCTCAGGGAGCAATCCCATGCAGAGGACTACTCAAGGGACCATCGAACAAGAGTGCCTGCTGAGGGCATGAGTGAGACTGAGATCCACCCTGGTCCTCTAGCTGTGTGCCAGGGCTCTGGGCTACAGTCACTGAGAGGAAGCTTTCCTGATTGACACAACAGTGTTAGATAATGGAGTTTAGAGGCCAGTGTCCTGTCCCAACTCAGGACGTTTCACTATTTACCTTCCCTGAAGGGCCTCACTTAACCCCCTGCTCATTGTGTTTCAACCCAAGGTTTCTTTTCTTGGAAGACCATCTTAATCCTAAACCAGACTTCTCCCTGCCTTGTCTAACACTTCCCAAGCCTCCCCTGACCCTTCCAAGTACTCACCACAGCTTGCAATTCTGTCTTGGTTTAGGTCATTAATTAATGCTTAGCGCCTATACTACAAGGTTTGTAAAGGCGCAGAGAGTTCCAGCTGTGTTCACTGGTGTATCCCTAAGCACCTAAAACTCTGCCTGTGATTTGTGAGATGCTCAGTACATGCCTGTTAAGTGAGGAATTCTTTTCAAAGCAATTCCCTTATGAACTCTCAACATAAGGAGGCTAGTGGGGAGCCAATGGATTTGTTCAGAGCACCTCCCTGTGGTTCTCAACATGGAGACACATTAGGTTCATCAGGGAAGTCTCTTCAAAACGCAGTCTGAGGTCCCAGATCAGACCAACTCAATTAGTATCTGAGGAGTGGAACTAGGAAACTCTATTTTAAAATGCCTCATGGTGATATACAGCCTGGATTGACAACCATTGACTCAGAAAAAAGGATCCATCTGGTCTTCCTTCAAACCAACTGCTAAAAGTCTTCAGAGGTATGACCCATAATTGGGATATGTCCACTTGACTGGAATAAGAAACACCCAGAAAATTAGTAGAGCACAGTTCAGCGGTATTTCTGGAAGATTAATATGTAGGTCCACAAAGCGAGGGGGAAGACTTACCCTATTTGTGAGTGACACCAACCAGTAGGCCTGGAACATGTACAGAATAAAAATAGGAAGAAGAATTAAATGTGCTGGTTTCCAAGAGCTCCAGTCTTCTGAAGAGGGCACAACCTTTGCTGCCATCCTTAGTGTGGAGGACCCCTAGGTGACCCTCCTTGGAGGAGGGGGAGTTGTCTTCATTTTGGCTGAATCTCCTCCCATTTCCTCTACATGTGCAGAGCTCCCTAGGACTTCTCCATATCCCTTCCATTGGCTTTAAGCAATGCATATCAGTCCAGCTGAGGTGCTGATGTGTGGTCTTTGAAGAAGGCAGGCAGTGTTTCTGAGACACACCTCATTCCCGCCCCCTCCATTGTTCCCTCTGTGAGCCGGAATGAAGCAGGATGAAGAGCCAATGTTCCATGCTGTCAGCTTGGATTAAGCTATGACTTCCTGGGGCTTGAAAGATTGCTCATCAGAGCTGAAGCATGACCCCAGTACATTAGATACTACCTTAGTTTTGTTATGCAAATTGCTCTTTCTGCATATCGGTCTTTCTGCATATTGCAGAGGTGATTTCAGGCCTCCCACCTGGACCAGCTCACAAATCACCTACTTCTCTCCATTCCCACAGTCATTCACCCTCAAGCCACTTTTTTCTTCACAAATTAATAAAACCTGGGTCAAAGCCTGAGTTCAGATTAGCCATCATTGTGGCTGGACTTAGAACCCCTTGCCTCCCCATGACTACAAATACGCCTTAGTGTCTTTATTCTTGTTGTGGGTTATAGGTTAGAATTAATCTCCAGAATTCCAACAATTTTTCATGGAAGTACAAATAAGAACTTCCTGGGCCACGAGAGGACTGCGGAAGGCTCTTCATACTTAGTGTCCAGTTCTCCAGTTTCTTCAGCCTCTCACGGTAGAGTCTCCCTGCCGGTGACTGTCTGGTGAGCTTTCACATCTTCGGCTGTAGACTGCTGCTTCATGTTTCATCCATTTTGCTTTCAGGGACACATCTTTCTGGCCTGAGCAGCTCTCCAGGGCACAGATGGCCACTGTGGATTCTCCCAGCACTGATCCCGCAGGAGCCACTGTGTACTCTCTTGCTTCTGGTCCTGTAAGTCCCACTGACTAAGTCCCTGCGCATACTTACACATGCATTTTCTATTGCTTCTGTTCCACCTGAGGACCCTAACTAATGCAGGTGGTGATTCCCCTGGAGTAGTTATACAAAGACCACGCTGCTCTAACCTTGACTTTTATTCCTTAATGTCAGGAGCACAGTGCTTGGCACATAGGAACATTGGCTGTATATATATATAATTTTTTAATTTTTTATTTTTAAAGAGAGTATAAAATAGTTTTAAAACAGAAAAATTGGGGCTGGGGAGATGGCTCAGTGGAATAAGTGCTTTTCTGCAAGCGCAAGGGCCTGAGTTCAATCCCTGGTTCTGAAAAAAACAAAAAAATCAAAAAAACACAGAAAAGTTACAAGTGGTACAGAATTTCACTTAGCAAAGTAATCTGAATTTCACAGTATTTGTTGTAATGCATAGTATTGTCTTCCAACCAGTTAGTCATGTTACCAGATACATGCATGCAAAAGTGACAGAAGAAAGAAATGTATACGAAATTAAGAATAGAAAAATGTACCAACAATTGAGAAAAGGAGACAACAAATTACACATTAGCTGCTCCTTTGCATAGATCAGCCGAAATGCACAGTACAGTTGTCCAAACCATCCTGCTAACATACGTAGATAAAACTCTTTCCCCCTTTCCCTCTCCTGTCCTTCTCCTTGAATCAGTAGCTCTTTCCATTTGAATAAGTTCTTTCCCTTTTCCCAGTGTCTATTGTAACCTTCAGATTATACTGGTGTTCTTTAAAGAACCTACTATACCTTTAAACATTTTTTTTTCTCTACAAGAATATGCTGCTATACTTAAAAATTCTCAAGAATTTTCCAGGCCTTGCAACTTGAGAAATCCTGTGCTTCTCTTATTTTGCTAGCTGCTGCCAGGCATCACATGTAGGGTAGAATTGAAGACTGAGAGTAAAGACCAATCAGTGGTGTCTATCGCTTGCCTCCAAGCTATGGTCCTGTTATCTGTCATGGAAGCAAATTAACAACTGTTGACACATACTGAGTTTCATAAAGCCACACTGTTCCTTTCCAGAGCCCCATGTGCCTCTGGACATGTCACAGCTAGCTATTGCAGGGCTCTTTTTTGCAATCTTAATCTCACAAATGGAGCTAAGTATAATGATCTTTAATTACAAAGGTATACCTTTGTTCCTTAAAAAAAGAAGTGAATAATAAGCTGGGGGCAGTGGTGTGTACTTGCAGCTTCAGCTATTTGGAAGGCTGAGGAGAAAGGACCACCTGCCTGAATCCAGCTTGGCCAACATAGCAAGTCTGCTTCTTAAAAAGCATTTTTAAAAAGAATATATAAAATCTTTCTTCCCTCTTCCTCATCCTTTGGGACTTCTCCATTAGTTAAAAATCTTAAAATATTAGTGACTATTGACTCTGTAT